AACCAGTGACCCTAGTTACTGAGGCTCCCAGGTCATCTCCTGAGCTGACTCCCACTCGCCTGATCAAGAACATGCTCTGTGGGTCACCCGTCGTGCTTCCTCTCCCCGTGTAGGCTCCGCCCTTGCTCCTCTGCAGAGAATCACCCCAGGATGGGGCTGTGGCTGCGCCAGGGTGGAGGGCGGTGTGGTTTCGGGCATCTTTAGTCACGCTACCCTGATCTCCCTGACTTCCCCAACCTTAGGCTTGTGCTTCCGTGGGGGGAATGGTTCTGTTCCCCCAGAACCAGGATGCTAACTTGCGGTCCAAACTAAGCCAACCCACACATCCCAGAGGTGGACGTGTGACCTGCTGATGCCAATCCCCGGGTCTCAGACATTTTTCTGTAGCGGCACCAGGCAGTGCCCTTCCTGGCAGCAGCAAGAGCTCCTACTGGCCCTGGTCCTGACGATGGGGGAGTGGGGTAGGGCACAGGGCTGCAGTGTTTCCAGGACAAAAGTGAACCCCAAGGTGGAGGTCAAAGAGATACTTAGAAATGATTCCCCTTTGGGAGACTCCTATGACAACAGGACGGAATTATTGCCGAAAGCTCTATTTCCATGCTTCCGGTTCTCCCTTCAGCAGAACCCTAACAAGACACGGGCGCTTGGATTCACCCACTCCCAAGACAACTTCCCGCCCCATCACTGAAATCCTCCTTTAGCCCCAGGCCTGCAGCATTCAGCTGGGACCAGCTCTGGCCCTGGGTGCTGTGTCACAGCAGGAGGCCTGCTGCTTCCTCGCCACAGACAAAGCAGCGGAGCCTCGCCAGGAGCCCTGAGTCACACAGCCTGTCACGGCCAGCGAGTCCCCAGGGCCCATCTCATGCTCTTTTTACTGTTCCCACTTGTGCCGGTTAGGAACACTCGTTGAAACAATAGAAACCTGATTAGCATCCATCAGGGAATCAGATTAGGTCTGTCCAAGCCTGGGCGCTGCCGCTAGACCCGAGCTTCCCTGGTTTCGCTCTGCCCTGCTCACCGTTTCCTTCTCAGCGCGCTCGGTGCCGCTTGCAGAGAAAGCGCCTCCATCTCACAGCCCAGGTGCCTGCTCCCTGGGCAGAGAAGGGCAGTGCTGGGCTAGGCTTGTGCCCTTAAAAAGTCAGACATTTTCTGTTTTGTCAGCCAGAACTGGGTTGCTGGTCATTTGTAATTAGTATTGTTTTGTTGGCCAGGAATATTTTTTCCTGAACCAAACTGGAGTCTGCTAGAAAGGAAGAACGTGAGGTAGGGAGTGGGTGGCCACAGACTTCAGAGTCCGCCCTGAAGTTGCTTGTTTTGGGATTTTGCCTGAGGATGTCCTGCCCAGCAGGAAACAAAGCCCCTCTCTTCACTCCCCCGTGTCCCAGGGCTGGCCACAATGGAAAGTATAAAGTGGCTTTTTTGCTGAGTTGGAGGCTGTGGGGACATCAGAAGTTAGGGGGGAAGGAGAGGGGCATTCTGAGCATGCATCCTCCTCCTGCAAATCTTTCAGTCTTCTCTCCCTGCAGCCTTACTCAGAAGTGTGTGGGGGGTGGGGGGCAGGTGGTGACAGGGGAACGCGGAGCCCTTTCCTCCAGGGAGGGCCCGGTTTCCGCCATGACCCGCGGGGAGCAGCCCCCCAGGCCTGCTCCCGTGGGCTCTGCGCTCACACTGCCTGAGCCAGTGGTCTTCAAAGTGAGGCGGCCTGACGAGCGGCAGCAGTTCACCTAAGAATCTGCTGGACACGGAAATTTTGGGGCCCTACCCAAGACCCTTGGAACCAGAGACTCAGGAGGTGGGGTTCTGTGTTTTAAGAAACCCTCCAGGTGATTCTGAAGTTTGGGAACTTCAGAAGCATAATGACTTTCAGGCTGGGAAACAGCTTCGGGGCTGTTTATGCCAACTGAGAGGCAGCTGGTAAAGGCAGAAATCAGAAAGGAACCCACCTGGTCCCTCAGCACTTCAGCACAGACCAGAAGACAGTGAGTCTGTGAAGACTGAGATTTTTGAGTCTAAGAATAACTGTGAGAGCTAGAAATCACTGAGGGACTGTAGGGTAAATGGAAGTTATCAGGCTTTTTCCGCCCTCCCTCCATTAGCATCTATGACCAACACCTGTGTGCATGCGTGCCTGATTGAGGACACCTGGAGTATGGGGTAGGCACGAGTAAGTGGGCACACCTGGGCCTGGAGGCTGGCTGTAAATAGGGTGGAGAACAGCTACGAGATGATTGGACCATGAGAGAATGCCAGAGAGACAAAAAAGAAAGCATACAGATTTGTTGGAGGCTGGGGGCCGGCAGTCTCCTGGCCCGCTGGCCTCCCTGCCTGCCCTGGACCTGGTTGTCTCACTACAAATGTGTAGAAAGATCTTTAAAATCCTGAAGAAGCCACTAAGGGCTCCAGGACTCTCCTGTCTGCTTGGATCCAGAGAGAACCTGCCCTGTGTCTGCTGGCACAACAGGGACAAACCACATTTCCCATTTCATAGATTTGGGAACTGAGTTGAAACAGGAGAAAGTATTTGGCCAAAGTGAACAGCAAAAGTGGAACTAGAATTGATGTATTCACACCCCCCCATTGAAATATCTCTGAAAGAATTATAGCACTTATACCTATTACATGACCTTTTACAAGAGCAGGACCCTAAGGAATCCACCTCATGGTAAACCTGTTAAGAAAACTCCAGGGAAGTCTGAAGGTGGGGTGATGTGTGATGTGCTGTGTGGGCCAGGAGGACCAACCTCTCTTTGTTGGGGTTGGAGGGAGGCTCCCCTTCTCACTGTCCCTTCTTCCATCACAGTAGCCCAGTGGCCTCTCCAAATGAGACCAAGGGCAGGAACCACGTGCCTTAACTTCCTTCTGCGTGTCTTCCAGAGCCGAGAGAAACAGGACTGTCAGAGCTGGACAGCAGGCCAACCCATCCCAATCATCTGTGGGGCCAGGACAAGAAGACCCTGGAAGGCCCAGCTACGAAATGGTTACAAGTTTAAAAGTTACAAATCAAGCTACAAACTGTCTTCTGCTTTATCAGACCTAGTAACGACCTAGCAACTGGGATCTAGGTGGCTTGAGCATAAGTCCACCCCCATGACATCCTTTTCCCATTCAGGTCCCAGGCTGTACTGTGAGGACCTTGGGCACGTGCTTATGGCCACTGCAGCCTGTTCTTCAAGCTCCATCTACACCTCTTGCAAGGAGCCAGCTTTTGTCTACGCATGGGAGGCAGGACCTAGAGAAGAGGACTTTCTAAACCTTAGAAATTGGCCCAGCAGTGTTTAGGATAAGAATCCAGAAGCAGGGCCTCCCTGGTGGTGTGGGTTGAGCACAGGACTGAGAAACTGTCCGCAGCCTCTGCAGTGCCGGTTTGATTCTCGGCCGGCCAGGGAGTTTCCCACATGGGGTGCAGACCTCTCCTGCCGCCCGCTGCTCCCCTCAACAGTGTACTTCGGTCCTTCTGCCTGCTCTGCTCCCCACTCTGTCTCTGGTGAATTCTCTCACCCTCCTGCGCCTCTGGCCTGTACCCCAGTGCGTATATAAATAAATAAATCTTTTTTTAAAAAAAAAACTATACAAAAAAAAAAAAGAATCCAGAAGCACAGTTGCAAAGATAGGGCATGGGCTCTGGGACACAGCCCTGTCCCTGTGACTCGGGCTGTGGGTGGGGTGTGGGCAGAGGCCCCAGCAGCGGCTTCTGAGGGCTTGCTTGTCGAAATGTGGTCCCTGACCAGCAGCGCAGGCGTCGGGAGTGGCCAGGACCACAGACTCCAGACCTGCTGAGCCAGAACCTGCATTCTAACCAGATCCCCTGGGGATTCAGTGGCACATCGAAGTTTGAAAAAAAGCAGCTCTAAAGCACAAAGCCCAGGACCAGGGTCCCCTCCGCCCAGGTCTCGGGGCCCTAACAACAGGGAACAACAATGTGCCTTCCATGGATGCCAAACATCCCGGCAGGGTGACAGCCTGGCTCAGTGATTTCACGCCCTCTTTCTCTGGGTCCTCAACGGCCAAGGTCCAGCTCTGTGCATGTCGCTGGCCTGATCCAACTGGCTCAATAGGAGACACCTACGTCCCAGGGGCCCAAGTTGACTCTCTTCCAGGAATTTGAAACTTAAGCCCCAAATCAGCTCCTGGAGTAATAGCAATTGTCATAGCGAACACTTCCTGCACCTGAGAGATGCCCAGCTGGAGTTTCACAGGCACTAAATCCGATTGTCACAACAGCCTCACCAGGCAGATGTTATTACTCTGCTTATTTTTCAGATGGGATGAAGCTCAGATGTTAAGCCATTCTCCCAAAGGCTTGGGGGCAGTTGAGGCACCAGGAGAGCTGAGTGATTGGCAGGTAGAAACCGAGCCATAAGATGTAGAGACCAGGGCACCAGCCTATGCTGCCAGGCTCCAGGATGCCCACCTGCCTGGGAAATGCCTGTGTGCCCGGGGAGTAAGAGCCCCCTCTGTGAGATAGCCTGCAGTGAGGGTCATAGGGCGGCCTGGGGGCGGCGTGAAGGGCGTGAGCTGTGGGGAAAGAGCATAGAGCCTCCTCTCCAGAGTGAGACCAAAGCGCTGACCAAGACCAGCCTGGCCGTCACTCCAGTCCAGACCAGCAATGGTGCCACTATGAGGCCTGCCAGACCTCTGACCACCCCCAATTTCCTCCCTCTTGTGAGTTAGCAACCAATTTGCAAAAAAAAAATGGTATTGGCAGCTGGTTTTTTGAGACAGAGAGGAGTGGACAGGCTGCATCTCCTTTGTGGGCCAGGGGAGTGGCGCCCAGAGGCTGAGAGGTGGAGACAGCTGTGATGGATCAAGGTCCGGACTAGAGAAGGGAGTTGGGGGCCTCACTGGTTGAAGGCCGAGACTGGTCCCTGATTTTGGCTCTCAGAGAACAGGCTATGGGTGGAATCTGCCTTTCTGGGTGAGGAGAGGAGTGCCCTGGGGGCAGCAGGCCTCTGGCGACTCAAGGAGACAAAATTAATCAGGAGCAGTAAGTTTCTGTCAGAATCCAAGCCTTAGCGGGTACAGCATTGTTTGGCTTTATTTTAAAAAACCACCATCTTTATTAGCACTAATACAACAGTGGCCCCCTGCTGTCACCTGACAAACATCACACAGCCCTCACGCAGGTCACACCTCCCGTGGCTGGCAGTACAGGTGTCCCTTCCTAGATAGTGCCCTGGCCCAGGGGAGCCACACAGAAATAAACTTCTCATTGCACAAACCTCCCTTAAAAAAATAAATCAAACAATCATCAGGTCAGCGAAGAGGGAATCACTGGCTCCCCCAAGTATAGAGGGACAAAGCTTGGTAGCAGAGGCCAGCTCCTTCCGGCCCCTCGAGGTGGGGTGAGGGGTCGCCCCGGCCTGGTGGCCAGTACTCCTGAGGATGGTGGCCACAGTACTGTGGCCAGAACGCTGCCAGCGGCCTCCTTCACTGCTCAGAGATGGAAGGGATCTGTCCCAACGCCCACAGGTGGGGGCGAAACACTGGGAACCCGGCCTGTCATCAGCATCCCTAAGGCCCCCGCAGACTGGGACACAAATAGCTCTGGGCCCACGCAGCTCCCAGTCTGCTGACGAGGGTGGCTTGCTCCTGTTTCTTCTCTTTTTCACTTTTCCAAGGAGCAAATTCAGAGTAAGAGCTGGCAGTTCTGGAAACTTTTTCCCTCCTCAGACAACCGTGGCAATAATGAAGAAGAGAGAAGACCCTCTCCAGGCTCTCTGCTGATTTTCGTAGGGGTGGGAAAGGAGGGACCCTTCCTCTGGAGTGAGTGGTCCCCAGGGCCCAGTCGGCAGGGCTGGTGTGGAGATCCCCAGCTCACACTGCAGACAGAGTCCCTCAGTACTTGGCTTGGGTCTGGGCCTGTGCCTGCTCTAACCAGGTAATGGCGCCTACCTATTCCTGGCTGGTCAGAGGGCCTCACAGTCTTTCTGGGCCTGGCCACCCCCTGCTCCAGGCCTGCAGATCCCTGGACAGTCCCCAGAGCTGCACCCTTCAGTCCAGAGGTAACAGGGGCTGCTAGATATACAAGCATAGCTGAGTAGTGCAGGGTCATCCAGCGGGGTAGAAGCGGGTAATCTGAGATGGATTCCAGAAGGAGGAACCTCAGGATGGGGGATGCCTACTGGCTGGGCTTAACCCCAGCACAGAGCCTTGTCCAGCCCAGTTCACTGAGGCAGGGCACAAGAGCATGCTCAGTTCTGAGGCCGCCCTTCTTACAGCAGACAAGTGTTTAGGTAGGATTTCAGACCCCCAACCCTGCAGCTAGCCCCCTACCTAGTAAAAATTCTTACTGGTCAGCACTTCCTTTATCTGCGGACCCCGTGAGGGTTTCATTCCATGGGCCAGCCAGGACCTCCCTCCCCTCCCCAGCCCAGAAAACAAAAAAGAAGCTGCGCCCCTGTCAAGTAGCTTTGCCTCATTGGGGGGCCTGGCTGCAGCTTCAGGGCGGATGCCTGGGTGGACAGTGTCCTCAGGAGGGAGATTGAATTGAGGCTAGAGGGAAAGACAGAGCGAGGAGGGTGGGCTAATGCGAGGTGGTGGGGGACAGTGTCCACTCTCTGGAGGGTGGTGGGGCCCACATGGGAAGAGCCAGGGGCCTGTCATCTCACCAGACTCCCTGGGTGGCTCAGCAGGGCAAACTCCGGCAGAGAGGGCCATGTGGGAAGCCTGGGCGCAGCCTGTTTCCTTGGTAACTGGCCTTTTCCAAACCCAAGCCTGGTGAGGTTCCATGTGGTGGGAGCCTGCAGATTTGCAGGGAAGCGGCTGTGCCAGCTTGTGGGTGGGGCGTGACTGGGAGGCTGCCAGCTCACCACCTCAGGTAGCAGAGGGACAGGTGGTGCCTGGGAGGCAGAGGCTGAGTTCCAGCAGGAGAGACCTGCTCATGTCCAACTTGAGGTTGGGGGACTTTTCTTTAACATTCGTCTTTATTCCAGTTGGAAGCAATCGCAGAAACTTCAGCATCGGAATCACGGCTGTGAGGCGCTCATGGGTTCTCACATCTCTCCATCACACATTTCTCGCTGAGTAGTGTTAACTGGATTGACTGAGAACAGCTTTACTTATAAAGATTTCCAAATAGGTTTCCATTCCGAGGGAGGGTGAGGCTGCCCTGGAGCTGCTTCAGAGGGAGGACTGGAGGAGGCGGGCTGTGAGGGACAGCGGGAGCAGCAGCAGGAGCAGGGACGCCCTTGAGGCAGTGACCGCTGAGGGATTAAGCACAGGCAGTTAGGGCCTCAAAGCACCTTGGGCCGCCTGTGTGGGACCTGACGGAACACAAGCCTATGTACTAAATTCACTCCAGGCTGCCTCTTTCTACCCTAATTAGAGTTTTTCTTCCCCCTGGTTTCTTTACATATTCATTCCTTTCAAAATTATGCTGCATGTTTTATTTATGGAGTTGCCTCCATCTTCTTGAACAATTATTTTTAGCATGTATATTCATTATCCAGAAACACAGCCCATATTCTATCATTGTCTGCAGCCTTCCTGTTTAGACCCTCCTGGGACGCTTCCCCTTGATGATTTGTGAAATGAGGGCCTTTGCCTTGTATCACTGAGATCTAGGGCACCCTTCAGTCTACTCCAGGTTCTGGGGTGAAAGGCTCAGATGATGTCAGGGGAATGTAGTGGGGCACCCCTCTTCCTCCAGGAAAGAGAGTCTGGCACATGTGAACCAGCCTGCCCAGGGCTGTGGTCACTGCCCACCCAGCAGGTTGGGGCCTACCTGAGTCTGAGCACTGCTGAGCCAGTATCCCTTCCAGAGCTGCTACGTAGTCGGGGCCCAGCCAGTCTTGGTACGTGGTCTTCTCCCCAACAGGCACGGCCCGGATTGTGGCATCCTTGAAAAGCAGGTCTTGGCCGTGATAGTTGGAGGAGTCAAACATTTTGAAGCCATTCTTATTGTGGTCATCTCCAAACAGGTCCTGGGAGCACCACAAGCAGATCTGTGTTTCATCTGGACTCACCGTGGTCACCCAGGGCCTCTGACTACCAGTTGCTTTACATACCGTGAACCACAGAGCGAGGACTGTCAGGGTGCCCAGACACTGACTTGAAACCCTAAGGTGACAACTCATCAGTTTCTGTCATCCAAAGGGTCTTGGGATAAGATGTCACCATGGCCACCATAGTAAGGTGGTCACTCAGAAACACCACGCCCGATCAGTTCCCGGATACAGAACTGATGTCTGAACATTACAGGAAGAAGGCGCCCCGAAACGAGGGAGGATGTGCACGAGCTGACTAAGTGTTTGCTCAGCCTGCTCAGCGTTCCTCAACCTTTTGCACAATGCTTCCTCACTCCTCACATGGTGTCCATTCCCACAGCCAAAGTGACTTCATAGAGTGCCTTTTGTTCTGTCATCAGCACCAAGAATAGAACAAGTTTCCTAACCCACCCTCCCGTGGCCTAGAGACTGGCAGGAGCCTCTCCCTTCTCTGCTGAGCATCCTGGAGCAGGTGTGCTGCAGCGAGAGCTCCGAAGGAGCCACTGAAAAGACCAGAGCTGCGTGGGAAATGATGACCCACCCACAGGGGAGGCGCCAGGGGAGCTGGGGGAGGTGCCCATCAGCTGAAGGAGCAGAGTGGCTATCAACCTTTTTTGTGCTCATGGAGTCTCTTGAGGACCTGACAAAAACCATTGACCTTCTCCCCAGAAAAACTCTTGTCCACACAGAGTTCTTTCCCACATCACTTCAGAGGGTTTAGGGACCCCCTGGGGAAGCCCTTGGACGCAGAGGAAAGAGCTCCTGAGATTGAGGGACGCTGGGAAGATTTACCAGGCTGCAGAGGCAGCTGGCTCTGCTTCTGCGGTGCTTACGTGTGGAGGGAGGACAGTTTCAGCCCAAATCAGTGGGGGTGGGGGGAGGGGTGGGAGCCAGAGGCCCCACCATCAGGCCCCACCATCAGACAGCGCGGGTTCAAATTCTAGATGTGTTTTGAAAATGTGGCTGAGCGGATTGCAGATGGATTGGACGTGAGCTGGGAGGGAGACAGAAGTCCAAGGCGAGCCCTGAGGAAATGGAGAGGCTGAAACCGCCTTCACTGAAGTGGGGAAGGCTGAGGGGAGAAGAGGAATTCAACTTTGGACTCGCTTGCGATGCCTGCTCGAAATAAAGATGAAATGTCAAGCAGGTAGTTAAAGAATCAGGTTTGAGACTGAGCGGTGGGGTGGAAGTCAGGTCCGAAGACGTAGATTTAGCCGTAGTCTGTATATAGATGGTACTTAATGACCTGGGACTGGGCGAGACCAATTGGGATGTGGGTGCAGACAGAGATGAGGATTTAGGATTGACCCTGGGGCGCTCCGCAGTTAGTCTGAGGAAAAGGGGAGGAACTAACAAAGGAGACTGGGAGGAGTGGCCAAAAGTTTATGGGAGGAGAGTCAGGCAGGTTTGGGGCCTGGGAGCCAAGGAGGAGAAAGCTCCCAAGAGGAGGGGGTTGAACTTCAGGAGGAGGGGGTGCAGCCAATGCTGTTGAGAGGACGCAGATGCCCGCTGGGCTTAGCAACATGGGTTTCTGTGACCTTGACGAGGGCAGTTTCGGAGCCCTTTGAGAGTCTGTCCAGAGTGGTCTCCAGTCTTAAAGAGACCAGGAAAGTAACTGATGACTGCAGAGTGCACACAGCCCTCGGAAGGAATTTTGCTTGAAAAGGGATTAGGATTCTGGTCCTAAGAGGATGTGAGAGGGTTTGCTGGTTTTTCAAAGATAGTAGAAATACCAGCATGTTTGTGTGTTGCTGAGAATGGTCTAGCCGAGAAGGAGCAATCAGCAATGCGGGAGACAAAGCGGGTAGTTGTTGCAGAGATGTGCCTGGGTAAGTGAAAATCATTGCGTGTCCACCCAGTCGTCTTCAGTTCTCCTTTGTTCTGCTCCAGTTAGACTGAGGCATCCCGGGGGCTGGGGTCACCTCTGTTGCCCACCCCCACTCCTGTGAAGATGTAGTCCCAGCCCTGGCTCACCTGAGCCTTGTCCAGTAGTCCATACACGGTGAAGATGTTGGTGTCCGGCCGGACCATGACGGCGTGGGACGGTATCTGTGCCAGACTGCAGGCTGCAAACTGGGACACCTCGCCCCGGGCCCCGTTGGGACACAGCAGCTCGTAATGCTCTGACCTGAGCTTAGCAGCCCAGGGCTCATTATTGTGGCCTGAGGAGCAGAGGGAGAGAGACGCATGAGTAGAGAGAGGCTACTATCTCCCAGGGTCCCCAGATCCTTGACTGAGAACGGTTGGTCAGTTCCCTGACCCTCTCCATTCCATAAACGCCCAGCTCTAGTTTCAGGGCAAGAAAACTCAGCTGGGCTAGAAATGTTGGCAGGAGCTACTGTCAGTAGGGAGTAGCTGCTCTGTCCTCATGATAATAATGCAGGGCAGGTGTGATCACCCCCATTTTACAGGTGAAAAACTGTGGCTCTGAAACAGCCCCAGGCTAAGAACACCATCGGTGTGTTACAGATGTCGGACCTGAGGGTGGGATGTGTTCCTGACATTTTGTTGATCAACCTCCTTCCTTAATGCTTGGAGTTCTCAAACCAGAGGGGGTATAACATCACAAGGACCCATAAGAGGCAGTTTCAAGGGACTCTGCTTGCAAAGAAACTCATTCAGCAGCTTTAGGGTGGGGCCAAGTAATCTGCATTTTAACTCAGAAGAGGTGGTTGGCTCAAGCATCTCCTGAGAAACACTCCCTTGGGAATCATATTATTCCCGTGTCTTCATGCCTTCACTTAGTAGCCGCACGCATTTGCAGAAGGGACTCAGGTGGACGCCCGAGTGGCGATAAACATGAAGAAAAGATGAGCCCTCCTGGTAGAAAGGTGTCTTGCTGCAGGTGGGTCCTTCGAGGGCCTTCCTGACCATACAGGCACAGGGCTGGGGCAGGCAGGGCTCACCGTCTCCTGCAGGAGCACGCAGCACCCTCCTCCTGGGGGATGACCGCCAGTGTTGTTCTTGGTTTGACTTTGGCAAGGGAGAGGGATGGTGTGGACAGAGAGGGTTCAGGGCCTGGAGCCTCCCCAGGTCTGCTGGAGCAACTGGTACACAGCCTTAGTGACCCAACTGACGTGGGATTGGGTTTTGAGACATGAACTGATGTTTTTTCCCTACACACCCCATCTCCCCTTTGGGCTATGGTTATGCTTTACTGTGCTGAGTTTCTAGGAAGAGATAAGTTAGGGCAGAGTGGGAAGGATTGAGCCTCCAGTGTGTGGGGTTTCAAAGCCTAAAGCCCCTGTGTAGGCAACATCTACAAGGAGCATAAACAGTAGGTGCTGGGGGGAAGTGGCCCCAGGCTTCCACATGGATGGATCCCATGAATGAGGGGGAATAGGACTGGAGGGAAGTGCTGCATGCTAAGGACCCCAGGTGTGGGCTCAGGGGTCCTCCCACAGAGCTCCTGAGCTCCTTGTCAGTGGCACCAGGAGGGTGACTTCATAGAGAGAAACATACATGTGATGTGAATGGGGTGTGCCCTGCGTGGCGAAGGGGCTGCACGGTGACTTCCCTGCACAGGCTCTGACCTACTCAGGACTGAAGACTGAGTGCTCATGAGAACTGAGGACCCTATGGAGAGGCTCCCACCACCCCCATACTCCACACCTATTACACAAGCACCTCCAGAAGCAGTCTTTGCAAACTGAGTTTCCATCATTTCGGTGGAATTGGGGTTTAGATCCCAGGCCAGTAAAGACTGTCATGTGTTCTGTGCATCTGGACATGTGGTCTGAAGTTTGTTTATACCAGGTGCCTGTTGGGACCCCCTAGTCTTCTAGACTCAGTCATTCCTGGATGCTGCTTGGCCCCTAATCTCAGGAACGTCTGGTGCCTGGATCATGTTGGGGTGGGGAACGACCCTGAAATCTGCCCCAGCTCTGGCCCAGCCCCCCTCACATACCATCAGTGTTGTCAAAGACGGTGGTGTGCTTGACAAAGGCGACGTCCCCCGCGTTCTCAACCAGGCACCTGCCACGCAGGAATCCAAGGCAGGCGTCAGAGAAGGGTCCCGCCCTGCCCCCTTGCCTTGCCCCAGGCCCACCCCTCGGGTCCAGTGGGTTACCTGAAGGCTCCGCTGTCACCATAGTACCTCTCCTGGCTGTTGCCCACACACTTGTTGCGGCCCTGCTCATCCCCCACGCAGAGCTCACACAGCGAGGATGGGTAGTCCTTGGGGTTGTTCACGGGCACACAGCTGGCACTGAAGAACTCGCTCACCGCTGGGCAGAGGGAAGGGCTGTGTTGAGGGGCCCGTGGTAGGAAGGGTGGCCCAGGAGAAGATGGGTGGGTGGCTCCCGCACAGATCTGCCTTCCCCTGCCTGGCCCTGTGGCTCCAGGTCACCTGTGCGCCGCACTGCCCACCCAGCACAGAGTGGCATGTCTCCTGTGAGCACGCAGAGGTTGTCTGCACATGGGAACCCCATCACACCCTCTGGTGAGAGGATACCTAGCCCTGGTTATCCCTCAGGCACAGATTGCTCACTACCTCATAAGCTATTTAGTTCCAGACAAAGCAGCTGCCCAGCAATCTGAGAGGGGGAGCTGTCAATTCTAGCACCCTCTGTGTGATTGAAAGAAATGTTTTTTGTTCCTGAGCTGCTAGCTGGTACAGAGGTATGTGCCCAGTCAGCCCAACGATCCTGCCAGCTCCCTCCTGCACCCCCTTCACCACGACTGTGCATGATTTAATACATGGGAGGCCCTGCTGTAGCACGTGGCGGGAGCTTGGCAAACTTGTCTTCAGCAATTACACAAACAGCTGACATTTTCCAATGAGGGCCCCAAATGCCCAGGGGCTGCTGGGGTGGAGGGGGGCAGCCACATGACTGGACAGTGATTCAGCCAGGCCCAGAGTCCAGGACGCTCACCCACTCCCAGTCCACTGCAGCCAGTTCCACTCTGGGAGGGAAAGTGGGTAGGGGCACCAGGCACCCTCCACAGAATCACCACACAGACACTCTGACTTCTTGTTATGGCCAAGACTATTTCTCAGCCTTCCCAGAATGTCAAGCAGGAAGGGGAAATCTTTCCAGGGCTGCATTCTGTGGGGACCCACTGAAAGAGGACCCAAGCCTCAGATGCAGAGTGGCCCCAGACCCAGACACCCCCAAAGAAGAGTTTGGGTGTTTGTGTCCCTGTGGAGTGAGGTACCTGTGAGGACGTCGCAGGCCTTGGGCCGGATGAAGCCCCTCTGCATGAGGGCGCCCACTGGGATATCCCAGCCTGAAGGGCTGCCGAAGCCCGAGTGGCAGGAACGCTTGCCCTGGAGCTCATCCAGGGTGAAGGCGTAGGAGCTGTTCCGCCTCACCACAGCCACCACGTAGTAGGAGTTGCTCCTGTCCTCAGCTGTGGGGGCGGGTGATACGAGTGAGACCCTGTCAGGTAAGAGCCAGGAGCATACCCCCTTGGGGCCTGTCTTTCAAACCATTTCCCCCTGTTGCTCTCCACCACGGAGCTCTGGCCTTGGTGTCCAGGCCTTGGCTGCAGGGAGTCAGGGTGCTGCCCAGGTCTGAGGGCCAGGAGGGTATCCGGCGAGCCTGTCTGGCAGTGGGGCCCCTACTCGTCTCCCCCTGAGAAGCAGCCTGGCTCCACTTCTCAGAGTTTTGTCTTTCCCACTTTACAGTAGCACCCAAAGGGATTCTTTTCTGCCCTTACACCCAGATGGTATTTTTCTCACTTCCTGGGAGGAAGGTGGAGGCCCAGTTAAGGCTGCAGAAGCATTTTCCCTGAGCCCAGAGATTTTTCACATCCAAGTGAATGGGACCAAAGGTTCCTGCTCACCACTTAAGTGGACACTTAAGCAAAGGCCACTGGCAAGGTGTCATGAGCTGACAGGAGGGTGGTTCTAGGGCCACCTCCCATGAGCTGTATGGAAGGCTGGACGAGTCCCAGGAGGCCTCCGGGGCATGCTGCTCCAGCATTTGAGTGTGGCCTGGGGTGAAAGTGAAGGGCAACCCTTACATATTTTTAAATGTTTGTTTTTAAAAAAAGACAAATATGCAAGAGTATGTGGGCGGTAAAGCATAAAGTGCTGATTCTCTGACCCTTTATAGAAAGTTTGCCAATGTCTGCCCGACTTTCAACAACTGGGTGGCAACATGGGGCCTGGGGCAGAAGGGGGTTGCCTGAGACGGACAGCAGCCGGCCCATGGACGGAGGCGCTGAGGGGGAGCTGCCGAGCAGGGGCATGCTCATATAGAGGAAAATATCAACCACCTCCTGGCAGAGGCCAGGCGGCTGCACCTGCACTCACGGGCATAGAGCTCCCCCGCCGCTGGAACCAGGCCGTATGTTTTCCCAGAGGTATAAATGTCCTCGCCCCTCAGAGTCACCGCATCAATTTGGCCAGCCTGGAGGAGGACAGAAAGAGTACCCAGACTGGGACAGGTCCCACGATGCTCCGGGTGTTGGGATTTGATAGGGAAGTACCGGGGCTTCCTTTCCCTGGGCGCCCTGTCCTGTGCCATTCCTTATGAAGAGGCATGGGCAAGAGGGGTGCCTTGAAGACTGGGGGCTAAAACTAGCCACCACCAGCATTTCTGTTGGTGGGTATCTGTTTCATTCTTTCAATAATTGCTGAGGGTCTCCTGCTACCAGGCCCCATTCCGAGCAGGTCTGGGTCTCCTCGTAGGCCAGCCACAGAGGCCTGGGGCACTGTACCATAACCCCAGTACCTGGCCAAGGCTGGCACACAGCCGGGTGATGAGTGAGCCATGTCTTAAGGGAGGCAGTCTCTGGGCCTCTGCGACAAGGCTCCAGGGTTGAAGGACTCTCTTCCCTCAGACCCTCCTGGAGTCTTCTGGGTTATCAATGCCCCACCCCCACATGTCCATTCTGAAGCCTCTGGAAAGGTGGTCCCTTAGATCCTGTAAGTTCTGAGGGAAGAGTTGGGGGAGAGAGGGGGCACCTGTACCCCAGGAAGCCTCAGAGGCATGAAGGTATGATGGTGGATAACAGGCAATGGCGTTGCTATTTTCAGCCTGGCGGGTGCGGTAGCTGAGTTGGGCCAGTCGTCTTATGCTCCTTCTGCTCCTGCTCCCCACTCTGTGAGGACTCCCTGGGCTCCCCTGGGGGAAACAGCCTCCTCTGCCCTGTCCCCCAAAGTGGGCGACGGATCCCTGGGGTCCTTCCTCCTCCCCTTTCTATGAGGGTGTTGGAGGAGACCTTCTCCTCCACAGGCTGCCCCTGAATCCTCCAGACCAGGAGGACAGGGGAGGGTCAGCACCGCTACCCCCACCCCAAACCCACTGTGCCCCTCCAGGCTTGGTCCCACCTGGATCTGTTCCATGCAGTGCTGGGGGGAACTGGCTGACACGCACTGGATCTCCGGCCTGAGCCTCTGCCGGCTGAAGGCCACAGCCATGTCTCCACACTTCTGGATCTCGGGAGTGGACAGCACACACCAGCGCAGGTAGGAGGGCAGCCCTGTGTGGGTGTGAGCATGTGGTCACACACCCTGTGTGGGCCTGAGTATGGCTGGAGGGAGGATCAGTGCCTCCGTAGGAAGAACTTGAGTCAGAGCCAAGGGAAATCCTGGCCCTTACCCTCATTAGCTGTTCATATTTAACCACGTGAGCCTGTTTCCTCACACAGAAAGGGGGGTCTAGGAGGTCTGAGGCAGATCGAGTCAAGTAGCTAACTCGGTGTCTGGCACACCATTTTCCTGGCGGCAGGTGGAGGGGATTTGGGGTTGGCGGTGGCCATTGGGTGTCAAGGAGAAATGCCACATGGAAGGAGAGTGACAGGCCTTGAGCACTTCAGATCGGAGGACGAGGACACCCTTGGAAAAACAGGTCTTAATGTCCTGGATCCCACCGTCTGGAGCAGGCAGGGCTTTGGAGATACAGCAGTCCATGTGATCCCCAAGAGTCTTCCTTCCCAAACCCCTGAGACAGGGAGATTTTGAAGAAACAAGTTCCCAGCGAGGCATACTTCCCTTGATGAGTGTCCTCCCTAAGTCACCTCTCGAGAAAGCCCTGTTCGCCACTCCTGGCCTCAGGCTGGGCTGGGGGAGGAGACAGGTGGACTTACGGTTGGGGTCACACAGGAGGCCCTTCATGGCGTGCAGGTACTCGCGACCCAGCCATGCCTCGTAGGTCTGCGTGGCAATGGGCACCAGCTCTGAGGTGGTGTCTTTGAACAGCAGGTTCTTCTGGCCATAGGCCTCAGAGCTGAACATCTGGAAACTGCTGCCCTCATGGCTGAACAGACGCTGTGTGTCAAGGGGTAGGGATGGAGCTGGTGAGGTGCTGAGGGGGCCCATCTTTCCTCTCAGTTCACTTCCACCACCTTCCTGTGCCCCCAAACTGGCACCCCCTCTGAGGAGCACCACCGGCCTTCCTATGCTCCCCCAAGCATCCTGCCTTGTCACACTCAGCTGTCTGGACACGGGACACGTGGCCCAGGTTGTCCTGAGAACAGACAATGGGGCTGGGCAGCGGTGGTACAGAGGGGAAAAATCAAGCGAAAGCTGGTGTACCCAGCAGTCAAACTTACTGCTTTGGTAAGCAGGGATTTCAGCAAAGCATGATTCATTCATTTAATTAAAGTTGCACTTTGACAGTTATTGGCTTTGTCATTTTGTTGATTTGCTCATATGTTCTGGTTTTGATTTTAGGAGCCACTTGAAGGGGCTTCTGAGTTGCCTGGTCTCCTGTCTTGGGCCAGCCCTCTTTACCAGCCAGCACAGTTGGTCTCTCCTTCACACTGACCTGGCCTGAAGAGGGTCTCTGAGTCCTGCCCTTCTGATCTAGGCCACCAGGGCCCCAGCTCTAAGCCTGAACTCCCGACCTGGAGCAAGACAAGAAGGTCCTGTATCACCCCTGGAACCTATGTGGGTGCCTTCACTCACCTGGCCTTCATTGAGCAGCCGAAAGATGAGCCCCCCATCTGTATCAGCCCGGACCACCACTGCATGAGCAGGCACCCGGGCCAGATGGCACCGCCTCCATTCGGTGACGTCAGCTCGACTGCCATCCCGGCACAACAGCTCAAAGTCCTGTGACAGCAGCATCTGGCCCCAGGAGGGCAGGGTGTTCCCTAGGAAGAGGGGGAGCTTGTGGTGAGCTAACTCCTGTTCTAGGAGGGCATGGAGAAGGCCCCAGGCAGGCCCAGGAGAGGAAGCCTGGGGAGAGGCTTCACAGGCCACAATCCCACCATGAAAATAAACCGTATGAGGAGGTGAGAACCAGAGCACCAGGAGGGGAGACCCAGAATGATACCAGAAGGTGAGGTGCAGAACCCTGAACTCAGACTGAAGAGGAGCTTGGTTGCTCTACTCTATAAGATCAGGTGTTCAATAGACTGGGCCTATTTACTTTTCTACCTCACTAATACCTATCCCAATAAAGTGGACTTGAGGTATCTGAAAATAACAGAACACAGGTAAACAGAATTGTTCACCAAAGACAGAAAGAGTAAGAGAACAAGAGAAGTGTAGGATAGAGAAAGAAATGCACCAGAAATCTAGGATGAGTTCACTGCTGTCCCTGAGCATGACAGTTGGCAGGGGCCCGGGGGTCGGCGGGGAAGGCGTGGTGGAAGCAAACCATGAGGAATCTACCCAGAACAGTGGCTGGAGAGAAAAGTGTGACTCCTCAAAGTGGATAGCTCAAACTTAATATTTTGGTATATTTCCTCCAAGTCTTTTTCCCTATTTCTGTTAGAACAGAGAACGAGATGAACTGCTTTTAACATAGTTAAGAACATACTTGATAGGCAATCTTGTATTCTAATTTTTTTCATTTATTGATTTAAAGTATTTTCCCATATTATTGGAAACTTTTCATAACATTCATTTATAATAGAAAACAAGATTTATTCGAAAGAGTGACTATCCATATCAATAGGAATATTAAGAGGACTGTTAAGAGTTGTAACTAAACCATGAGAGATAAAATAACCACAGATGGTGCTACATTTCTATGACTTTTAAATTTTAAAACGAGGGGGATAAATCTCTGCTAGGAATTAGGAGAGGAAAATAATTTGTGGGATCATGAAAATTCTGTTCACTCGAAAGCTATTTAAAAACCAAAACCAAAACTAAGAGAGTAATAGTTTGGAAAACTCCATAAAGGTCATTTTTAATGATTGCATGATAATTTAAGCACTCTCAACAATTACTCAGTGTCATTCTCTCCCCACTCCCCAACTTTTCTCTATTTTTAAGCTGCTGCAGAAACTTTGTATAGAATTCTGGGGGATCATTTGGTCTTCCCATGAGACAAATGTAACATTTAGGTATTATGATCTGTCACTCCTATTTTCCACAGATTAGGGACAATTAAAGCCATATTACTTCATTACATCAGACATTTATGTCAATTCCACTCTTGTTCTTACCCTTTTTTTCACATAAATATACTCTTTTAAAAATTGCTTCCTTAGATTTTTTTAGATTACATCAAAAATTTAAAGGAGCTGATCTTAACCCAATACATTCCTATTCTTTCTCTACCTTCCCAAATCTTTGTGTGGCCATCTTGGGGCTCAGGTCTAGGTAGCCCATTTTCATAGGATCAACCTGCTTGGGAGACAGTCCTATATGCCTTCTCCTTTTAGATCACTTTTTTCTTTTTCTCAAACCTGGTTCTTCTTACTGCCTTCTGATTCAAAAGTCAAAGCTTAACAAAAAAGATGATGATTAAAAAAAAAAAAAAAAGACAACAGCAGACATTCTGGAACAGGTGAAACCAGAGAGATAAATAAAAGTTTGACTGGTGGCTGCTGGGGGTGGGGGAAAGACTTGACTATAAAAGGGTTTGAAAGAACTTTTGGGGTGAATGTTCTGTCACAACCACTATCTTGATTGTGGTTACACAACTATTGGGTTTTGGTAAAACTCTGACCTGAAGTTCAGAAAGACCAAACTTTATTGTATGTAAATTATACCTCAATTGAAAAAAAACAAATGATCCTTAGGCAAATTCAAATTAGAGGCCATCCTATAACTGGATTGATTCTTCAAAAATTCAGTGTCATAAAAAACACAGAAGATTGAGAAACTGTTCCAAGTTACAGGAAACCAAAGAGATCTAAAAACTAAATTCCATGTGAGATCATAGATTAGAAATCCTGGGCTGAAGTGCGACAATTAGTGAATCTGGACTATGGACTGTGGATTAGATAATAATATTGTCTCAGTGTTACCTTTCTGGAATTTGCTAACTGTACTGTGGTTTGTGGCTAGGTTGGCATCTCCTTATTCTTAGGAGATACCTATTAAAGCACAACAGGTGCATGATACCGACAAATGAACTCTCAAATGGTTAAGAAGAAAAACTGATATAGAAAGAATGATAAATCCAACGTGGCAAGTGCTAAAAGTTGGAATCTGGGTAAGGAATAAATGGGGGTTCTTTGAATTATTCCTGCAACTTTTCTAAAACTCAATTATTCCAAAAAAATTGAAATGATTCTGGTATAAGGGATCATCACATAACACCAACCCATGTTTAGTAAGACCTAGTGCAGGGAAGAGAGATGGCTTCTTCAGACAACACAAGAGAAGTGCCAGGAAGGAATGCTAAGGAGAGCTGGTGCGGAGGTTTGCAAACTGTTTTTCAAAAGCAGCACCCAGTCTTCGGGTGGAAACAGAACCCAGTGCCAAAGACAAATCAGAGCAGGGCCAAGCTGCTCACAGGCCCGAGGCCCAGAGGAGCAGTTTGAACTCATGGGTACCTTTTTGCAGATGGGAGCTGTAAGGTTTGCAGAATGAGGGCTATCCGTGTCACCCAGACTGCGCAGCAACTACCAGAGCTCCAACTACAGGTCTCCCATCTGGGGTCCTGCCTGAGGCAGCTCCCGGCCCCATCAGGGAGATTTCTGGGGCCCAGACCCTGCTCCTGAGGGCCAGTGCCCCCACTCACCATCCGTGTTCTCCAGCACCGTGCTGTGCTTCACGAAGGCCACTTCCCCGGCCCCTTCCGCCAGGCACCTGCAGGCAAACATCAGTGAGCTGGATAGGTAAAGCATCCCTCCCGCCCCTTGACCCCTGTCATCTTCCACCTCTGGGGGTCTGGCTTGGACACGGGAGTGTTGTGTTGGGCATGGGTTTCGTTGTCACGCAGCCTAGGGTTCTGGCTCCCTAGTTTGTGGGTTGTGTGGCTTTGCCAAGTTGTGGAGCTTTCCTCGCCTCTAAACCTATAAAGTGGGGATGAGAAAGGGGCTCCCGATAGGGAGAGATCCCTTATAGGTCCTGTTCAGCCTTGCTTGGGCCTGACAGGAGCTGGTGCTCATGTGGCAGCAGCCTGAATACATGGTGTTTTCAAGATGACTGCCTTGCTTTAGGGGATTGGGCTGGATTCAGGCCCCCAAGATCCTGGGGAGGAAGGAAGCAGGTCTTTTATGTATCCTCTATGTGTCTCCACCCAGTGAGGGAGGTAGGTCAGCACCTACTGGGCAGAGGGGCTGCCTGGGTCCCCAAAGTCAGGAAATAAGCAGGGGCTAGATTGGGAATGACACGGGGTAGGGAGGGGTGGGTGAGGGTCTTTGGTGCGGAGGCCCAAGGACGTGTTCTCTGTGCCAAGGACTGCATTGACTCAGATCACGGCCTGCAGCACAGGCCCTAGCAGGTCCCCTTCAGGTGGAAACACTGAGGTCAAGGTAGAGGAGGTCCTTGGGGGGCTTCCATTCCCACGTCCCGGTGTGTGGTTCCTTATTTGTGGACAGACAGACAGACATGCACCACAAGCTATTAGAGACTCCTTTTAGGATCCTTTTGTGAGGTTATAGAAAGTGCCAGCTTGAGCCAGACAGACATGTCAGCCCTGAGGGTCAAATTCCAGGGTCCCTGCATGATGCCCGCACTGTCTTTCCTGCTGGTCTGAGACACCAGGATGGGAGTGGCAAAGGCTGTTTTTCCATTTCCTTTTCTCTGAGTCCTCACCTCTAAATATACCAAACATTGATTTTATGAGCAAACGCAGTCTGGCATATTCCAGTTTGATGTTTTTAAACTAACCAGGACACACAAACTATATAAAGGGTGCTTTGATGAGATGCAGCCTGTGTTGCCCGCCCCCCTCATCCCTGCCACCCCCCACGATAAGGTGTTTTTCCTCAGCTCGGTGGCTCAAGGCCTTTCCCCTGACTCAGCATCCACCCCACCTCTCTCACCGGAAGGCGCCGCTGTAGTCATAGTATCTCTCCAGGGGGCTCTTGTCACACACCCCCTCCCCAGCGCCATTGCCCCGGCAGAGGCGACAGAGGGACTCTGAGTAACTGGTGTCTCCTGCTCCAGGGACACAGCTGCCCCCAAAATAGTTGCTGACAGCTGCAGGAAGGAAGGAGGGGGGGTGGTCAGTTAGCCCACCACACAGCAGGGCACAGCATTGGGTCTCTACCCTATCCCAAGTGGGCGCTGAGGTACCTCTGCCTGAAGCCAGAAGGGCTGGGCTCCCCTCGGACAGTGGTGGACCCTCCAGGGTTTAGTCTAAGTGGCACCAGGGAATGGGATCTGAGTGGTGATTCCGAAACTGGGGCCAGAAAGGTAGCAATGGGCAGGGGAGTGATTGCTATTATTTAAAAATGGCTAGGGGAATGGAACATTCGCCCCCAAATGGCCACAAAGGACAGCTGTGAAAGGGACACTATTTTCATAACAGGTTTCATTCCAAAATGCGCTACATGTCATCAGTGACAGTGGGGAGAGAAAGAAATGATTACTTAATGAGTATAATCTGACAGACAACACTTCTCAAAACATGGACAGGAGGGAGGGAACAAGAGAAGGAGGCATTGTTGGTGAAGGGGCCTGATCTGCCAGAACCCCCTTTTTTTTAACTTATTCTTGGGGCAAAGTTTAGGTTTCTATTGAAACTGTGCACCCTGAAGTGCAATTTGGTCTCAATAAATGCTTGAGCCGCTCTCCCTTTGGCTCTTTATTTTTAGGTTTGCAAGCAGGTGTGCGTGTGAGCGCCCCACAGCAAGGGCCCCCACAGAGGTATGGGTGGAGCCTTAACGACAGGTTCCCTGCCATAAGCACACACCCCGTGCCATGCCCTGCGTGAATTAGCTCAGTCCTCACTCCACAGTGAGGTGAAACAGTTCCCATTTCACAGTTGAAGTAATGTTCCACGAGGTAGAGAAATTTATCTGAGGGCAGGTCATGCAGAGCCAGAGGTTAACCCGCATCTCTGTGGCTGTAAAGCTGGGCCTTGAAAAGTGCTCTCTAACCGCTCCCCCAAGCCGCCACAGGCTCCAGAGGCACTGATCGCCCAGTGAGCAAACCAGAAGGAGCACATTCATGGAAAGGGACTTTGGGGACGCCCTAAACTCTTCTCAGGAGATGTGGTTGTCACGCATCAGGCCATCTCGTCAGGGTATGGTGCCTGATGTGGGGAGACGGACACCGCTGGGTGGCCAGCAGTGAGCCAGAAGAGAAGCCCAAAGTATGAGACACAGGCCTTATGCCAGGCACCCCCAGGCTCCACCTCACTCCCCTTAGGTGTTTTATTCTCAGCAGTGACCCTTGGGGTCACTCCCACCTTCTTCCCACGGGAGCACCTTCCTTCTGCAGAGCTATGAATGAACCCATGGGGAGCAGCAGGGCTCTGACTAGCCACTTGTGAGCTTCTTGGGTGCATGTCAGCAGCTTGTTTGGGTCCTGAAAAAACTGAGTTTCTGATCCAGAAAGCTGAGGACGTCTCTCTGGAAGTAGCGACCCACAGCAGGTGTGCACCAGTGAGAGTTGCTTGGGGACCACTGCCTCGCAACTATGGGTTGGGCCCTGCCCTTGACTGGATCTGGGGACACTGTGATGAGCGAGGGGGAGAGCCCTGGAAGGGCCAGTCATCCAGAATCTTAAACGGTGGCATGCCAGGCTGGCCAGCACGAAAGGAGGGAGTGAAAACACCAACCAGGCATCCAGGAAGGCCCCTGAAGGTGGTGGGCCTGTGTGGCTCCTCCAGGAGGTAGCAGTGCAGGTGAGCCTGGCGGGGAGGAGGCCGTCCCTTGAGGAGACAAGGAGTGAGGAGTGGGGAGGCCCAGAGCCTGCAGGTGAGGCCCTGCGGGCCCGAAGCCCTCACCTTGGAGCACGTTGCAGCCCATCACGGAGAGGCGGCCGCTCTCCACCAGGTAGCCCACGGGCACGTTCCAGCCCACCGTCCTGTTGATGCCGGTGTGGCAGGACTTCACGCCTCTCAGGGTGTTGATGGTTACATTGGAGCTCCTCCTGACCACAGCTACGGCGTAATAGGAGGTGCCCACCTCTAGAAGGAGGGAAGCGGAGAGCTGTGAGGGCAGCAAGGGAGAAGCCAGGAGAGAGGCTGGGACTGTGCCTGGGAGGCTGTGGGTCAGGGTGCATGTGCAGTATTCTAGCTGCTGACAGGGCGAGAGGGCACTTGCACACATCTTGTATCAAGACTCCGCCTTTCTCCAGCCTCAAGTGCTGGATATTTTCTTGAGTTATGAATTCATTAGCTAACGTCCCCCTTTCTTTGCAAGCCAGCGGGCACTTAGCTGGGAGCACATCTGTGCACGCCAGCAGGGCTCTGTTGGGCTGAACGCAGGAGTAGCCTGTGGGTCTTCTGTTTCCCAAAAGTCTGGACCTTCAGAGAACTTAGAGGGTTTGAGGAAGGGTGACAGTGGTTTCCCTGTGCTGAGGGCAGAGGAGTGGGGAGAGAGAGGAGGAGAGAACAATGTGTTCCTATATCACTCAAGGTCCGGAATGGGGTGCACGTAGGTGGGCAGGGCTCTGCAGCTTGGCAACATGTGCCAAATGTGGCCCCAGCAGTGCCATTAAGATAAGACAAGGATGACTCCTGTAGGAGGACTGAGGACCAGAGACATCCCTTTTCTCTGTCTGAGACACACACACACACACACACACACACACACACACACACACACACACACACACACACACAGATTGCTGGTGCCCATGAACAGAATGAAGCTGAGTTCTAGAAAACAAAACAGTGTTATTCTCTGCACACCTGAGTCTGGCCCTGGCCATCTAAGCAGCCTCACCTGGACCCACCCTCAGACTCAGCCACTGTACCCTTGCCTTCTAGTTCCTGGAACACTCCAAAGTTCTTTCCTCGGGGGCCCTTATGAGTGCTCAGCCTAAAAGGCCCTCCTGTCTATTCTATTTCAACAGGTCTGCCCACACCCTTTAGTTCTCCAGCACAGCCTTTACTTTCTTCACTGGGAACTGCACTTTTGCGTGTATGCATTGCTCTCTGACGCCTGCTGTTGAAGGGCAGGCTTGGCTCCGTGCTCAGGGCTGGATGTAGCAGGCTGGCCTGGTGTGGAGAGGCTTGGTGGTCGCAGGGTGGGGCTGTATCCTGTGTCATCTGGTGGTCACTGATTTGACAGCAGCCAAGTGAGACCCTGGGCTTGGTGCCAGGGACGGGGTTGGGGGTGTGAGTGTAAAAAGACAAGAGCAGGTCCCCTTCCAGGGACTCACTGTGGTAGACAAAGGAAATGAGACAGAAGGATCAGACCTTGGTGGGGTGAGCTGGTGCTCTAGGTATAGGCAGCGAGGGTCTCTGTGGGGGGGCAGGGGACTTGGAGGGGGCCCTGAGCTGGACTGTGACAGCGGGTAGGCACTAGACAAGCAGAGGTAGGCAGGCTGAGCTAGTGGCCTGTCAGGTGAGGGGCAGGGACCGGGGCAAAGGAACTCACATTTCCCAGCACATACTGCGTGTCAGGTCTGCACACACTGGCTCATCCATTGTGACTGGGCAGGTATGTGACCACAATTTACAGTCACGAAAGTGAAGTCTGTCCAAGGTCACAGAAGACCACAGGAAGGGGCAGAGCTGGGATCCATTCTTGGTCTATTGAGCTCTGCAGCAACTAGTCACCCCCTCTTGCTGAGCCCCATGCCCCTCCATGTTGCTTTTGACAGGGCTGCTAAAGTATGTGGGTAGCTGGCCTCCTGCACCCCAGCAACTAGCCCGGAACTGGGTATGGGGCAGTCCTTTGGTAAGACTTGTGGGTGAAAGTTGCTGGGCTCCCCATAAGGAAAAACAGACCCAAGCTACGGTTTCTGGTATCCCCACCCTTGAGAGTTCAAGAAAGACAGGGGGATCTGTGGGCATCTGGCTGGCTGGTACTCAGGACTGCTATGCGGACCAGGCTAGTGCCCAGCTCCAAGGCTGCGGGGCTCCAAGCAAGGACACACCGCTGCGGGGCTTCCCCTCCTCCCCCAAACCCCCTCCCACTAGACTCACATACCTTGATCGTATACTTCTCCCACCACAGGCTTCAGGCCGTGCTCCTTCCCTGCCTCATAGATGGCTCCTCCATCCAGAGTGATGGCATCTGCTTCCCCCACCTGCTGGGAACATGTATGTCAGCCCAGGCCGGTCTGAGCCCACTCAGGGAGCCCTCAGGGCCACCCGCCAGTCTGCCCAGCTCCTTTGGAAAGCCCCCACACCAGTCCTCTCCTCGTGTGGGGAGTCCTGTCTTGTCCTCCCCCCACGGCCTAAGTTTCAGATTTCTTAGGTCGAGGACTTGCCTTGATTTTCTAACTCTATTATTTTTAAAAATATTAATTTTATGGGATTCATAATTTATGTAAATAGTAAAAAAAATTAGTATAAACTGGTATGTAGTGGAAAGTGGTCATCTTCAATTTTCTGTTTCTCAGTCTGCTGCCTCCCCTGATAACCTGTTTCTCGGGTTTCCTCTTTAAGATACAGATTGAATCCCATAAATGGCCTCCTATTTTTTCCTTTTTATTTTAAAACACAAATGTCTGTGTGCTCCCTGAGTCTACAGAATTGGTTTCTGCCTTCACAGTGGAGCCTGACCCGAGCTCCTGGCCCCATCTAAGTCTATGAATGGATTAGGTCTTGGGGTGAGCTGAAGAGAAACCCAGATTCCCTTGAGCTTGATCCTGATGCTTTACCTTACGCCTTGACCTACCACTAAAGCTCTGTGTGAATATGGTCAGTGCCAGGTTAGCAGACCCGCCTCCTTCCCCACTCACTCACGTAGGACCTCTGGCCCCTCTTCCTCCTTCCAGAGAAACCACACAAACCCCATTCTGGAAAACTCCATGGCAGAATTAGTAATCACCGTGGGCTGCTGAAGGATGACCGCTCTCTGGGCACACTTGGTTGCGGGGGCGGGCAGTGTCCCTACTCTTGCAGGGGCCTTGTGGAAGGCCTCTCAGACACCTTTCCCACTACTACCCATCAGAGCCGGGCCCCCTTCTTGAGGCCTCCCAGCGCCTGGCCCTGGCGCAGGCAGGAAACAAGCTGGCCCTTGTTGCTGGGGAAACTCAAGAGATCCTGTTGCTGTCCAGGCAGGGTGGGGGGGACACTGGCGCCCTCCCCAGTGAATGAGGCTGTTGTGTGCTCCCTCCTGACTCAGAGCCCTCTGGTCTGAGTTGGTGGTGGCCAAGGAGGGCAGAACGGAAGGGAGAGGACTCACCGTGATGAGCTGGACACAGTGGTCAGCTGAAGTGCTCTGAATGCAGAGGAGGGAGGGCTGGATCCCAGCTTCCTGGAAGGCCTTGCTCATGTTGTTGCATTTCTGCTGCTCTGGATCTGAGGTGGTACACCACCGCACCTCCATCCCACTGAGCACTGGGGGCAGGGGACAGTGAGGCCAGCTCCCCTGGCACCCCCAGCCCACAGCCCCCACCATGGAGGAGGGTTCTAGCAGTTGCGTGACCACTAGTCCTGTGCCAGACTTGCTCTTCATCAGAGGGCACCCAGGCAAAAAGAGGTGTCACAGACTGGAAGTGGAGTGGGCTCAGGGGCAAAGCCAGGGAGGCCATGCATATCTTGGTGCTCAGGGCAGATGGGTGCCCAGAGACCTTTACAGAGGGAGGGAGGGCCTCCCAGGGTAGCAGCTCAGCTGAGCCACCCCTCCTCCCTGGCCTGGGGCACAGCCTGTGTTGTAAAAGGAGCACTAGCTGGGGTCCTGGCTGCCTCTGTGACTTGCTAAGTTCCTGCCCTTCTTCCAGCCTCTGCAAAGAGTGAGTGCTGGAGTGGGTCCTCTCACTCGGGGAAGTCCCTGGGTCTTCCTAGGGAACCAGGACAGGAGACTGGCACGTGGTTGTGGATGTGCTGCCCTTGGGGAGCTTTGCACTTCTTGGGGCAGCTGTGATTACGCGCTGTGCAAACACACCTTCAGTGGCCACAGTGCCAGGCCCCTGCCTCGGGGAGGCTGAGGAATCAGCGGTTGGTTCAAGTCTCTGCTATTCCAGTTGATGACTTCAGATAACTTTTTTGCGCTCTCTCTGAGCTCTTTTTGTCATTTGAGAAAGCAAATGAGCGCACACACTTTCTGTACGGCAACTATTTTTTTTTGAAAAGCACTTGTAGCACTGAATGACCTTTTCTCCACGTGACTTCAAACTACCAAGGCTCCCCCGCGCCCCTCAATCTCTTCCTCAGCTGTTCTAAAAAAGAATTTGGCCTTCTCCGTGTGGTAATTAAACCGGTACAGAGAGCCAGGGCACACAGGGCCCCAGGGGACGTGTGCGCACCTCCCTGCTCCTGGTGAGGACCCTGTGGGGTCCCGTGAGTGCGCAGGTCAGAGTCCCCGAGAGCTCCCAAGCTGGAGGCCCAACGCCTGAGAATTCCCTGAGACGGACGCCTTCGAAGACCTGGACTCCGCCCACTCACCCCAGGGGGCCTGTATTTTGGGGTAAACTTGTGGTTTTGGGTCTTCTCATCCGCCCTCAGCACACGCCCCATCAGGTAACTCTTCCAGGGAACCCGCCGCTTCCCATCCCATCCCGAGGGCCGAGGCTGCGGTTCCTCCAGTTTCCCTTCCGCCCCCTCCAGGTGCCTGAGACCCGCTCCCCGAGGTCTTGCCCCGCGTGGCGCACTCTTTGGGGAGCCCGGGGGCGGCGTCCCGGGGCGGTCTGCGCGGCGTCCCCGGCGCCCCCTCCCGCCGCCAGCGCCTCGGGCTCCCGGGGCCTCCTGCACGCGCGCCCGGCGAGGTGGAACGGCTCTGCCCCCCAGCCCTGCTGGGGCTTCCGCGCCTCTCGAGAACATTCGCCGTCCCGAGCCTCCTCCCCACAAGCCAAAGTTCTCCCCTCCGCGCTCTGCCTGCTCGTGTCCCGGGCCTGCGAGAAGCGCCGCGTTTTCAAGGCCCCTCGCAGCGTCGCCTCCGCTGAGAAGCCCCCGGACGCCCCGTCGGCGGATCCGGGCTGCCTCCCGCCCCGTCCTCACCGCGCCTCGCGCCTTCCGGCCTCTCCGGTTCCCGGGAGGCGGGGTGCAGGGCACCCTTGCCAGCCCCCGGGGCCCTCCCCCGAGTCGCCGAAGCGCTCCAGGACCCCCTGCCCGGCGCCCGCTCCCCGCGGTCGGGCGGGGCCTCACCGGTGCGCAGGGCCAGGAGGAGCCACAGCGTCCCGCTCAGGCCCCTCATGGCGGGTCTCGGGCTGGCTGGGGCCGGGTCGGGTCTCGGCTGGGGCGGAGCGGGTCAGCCGCAGCCGGGGCTCGCTCCCTCCTTCCCCCCTGAGCTCGCCCGCGGCTACTTAAGCCGGCCAGGGCGTGCCTCGGCGGCGTCCACACCCCCAGCGGCGTCCACACCCCCCCGCCGGGGCACCTGAAAGTCCAGGCCGGCCTTGGCCTGCTCTCTTGCGCCCCCTACTGGAGCCGCGGCCGGCCGGGGAGGAGGCTGGAGGGTGCGGGTGGAAACAGCGCGGGGCTCCCAGGATCCCGGGGGCGCCTATGTCTGGGCCCGCACCCCAAACGGTCCTCGAGTCAGGTGTCTGCTCTCTGGGAGCCGATGCCCTCAGCTCGCAGGCATCCCAGGACTCTCCCTGCCACAGTTGGCCGCGCGTTACAGAGCATCCCCGCCTCCACTTGCCTCAGAGAGACCCCAAGTATCATGCGTGACTGGAGAGGAAAAGATTTGGAAGAAGAGGTCGGAACTCCCGAGGAAGCGGGAAGGAAGCTTGAAGGCCACCGAATGTGTTCACCAGACTGTCTTCCAGGGCACGTGGCACGAAGGACCTGGGGGCACAGGATGCACCCAGGTACCTGTGGTCCTAGCCAGGCGGGAGCTGGTAGCGAGGGTCGCACTGTCCTGCTGGCTTCCTCGCCTTGGGCCTGGAGGGGGATCCAGAATGGCCCATGAGCCCAGGTTCCAGGTTCCAGGCAAAACCTGGCTCATTTCCTCATGTGTTGGAAGATGGGAAGAAGACCAGGTGGGGGCAGGAGGTGGAGGCAGAAATGGATGAGAAGAGAGATGAGAGGAGAAAGAAAATAAGGATAGTTCAAGGAAGTAGGTTGTTTTTCTGTGGCTTGCAAAGTGTGGTTCCCAGTGTGACAGTGACAGGAACACCTTGGAACTTGTCAGAAATAGATTCTCAGGCTTGCCTCTGATCCACTGCATCAAAAACTTTGGGGGAAGGGCCAGTAATCTGCTTTTGATTCTGGTGGACAGTAGAGTTTGAGAACTACTGTTCTAGCTAGGCCAGAGCTATGGTTCTCCACGTGTTGGGGACCTAGTGAAGGGACTGCAGAGATTGTTCTCAGCCATTCACCTTCACTTATGTCCTCACCTTTGATCATCACCGCTGCAGGAGTACACAGGAATGAGGTCCTCTCTACGTTGGGGAGAGGACAATGCAATAAGAACATAAGCTCCCTAGGGAAGGAAGTTGTTGTCTGTCATACCCTGAGATGATCCGTGGCGGTTACATAGACTGGCTCTCAGGAGACATGAGCTCTGGTCGGTTGTTACCACTGACTTGCTGTGTGCCCTTGGGCAAGCTCATTCTCCTCTCTGGGCTTCAGTTTCCCATATGTAAAGGCAGGCCATGTTGACGCTGATGTGTTTTCTTCTTCCCCCAGTATCTGTCCACTCTGGAGAATCTGAGGGGGCATGCATGGTGGAAGCTATTTCTCCCTCCCCAGCAGGATCCATCAGGAAGAGGGGGCATCCATCTCTTTTTGTATTCACACAGAGATGCCACACAGACTGGGAGGTGGCCTTGCTGGAGGGGCTATGGCCTATCCTAAGAGAATGGAATTGTCCTTAGCAAGCCTCTCCCTCCTTATGAGGGTGAAAAAAGGGTAATTCTGCCACACTGCGCTGCAAATAGAAGGTGTTAGCAGGGTTTGTGTGCATTAACTAAGTTGTTTATCTATCTCCTTACCCACCCACCCACCCTCCCACTTACCTACCTACCCACCTACCTATGATTTTATTACTTTAATACATAGATAAATTTATGCCACCAGGGCAGATACTGTGGATGGTTCCTGTTTCAATGAGGGGGCGGTGATGGAAGGATTTGTTTGGTCTTATAATAGTGAGCCAACCCGTGACTGTAGCTTTCAGTGAGAATCAGATGGAATTTAGCATCCTTAATCTTTTCTGGTTCTAAACGGAAAGATGCCTTTGAACAGCTAGTGCTTTCTTAATTAAATGGTAGAGATTTTCAAGAAGTCCAGCCCTTTGGACTTAGGTATCCTCAAGAGTTGATTGTCCGTCACAAAACGTACTTGTGCGATGCCATGTGAGTCTCTCAGGACCACACTCATTGGGGAAGGAGTAGCCCTTCTTGGCCAGTTCGTAGATCCGCTCTTTCAGGTGGTTAGATATCCATTCAGCCAGGTGTGGGTGCTGTGGTGATTCGCTCAGGCCTTTCCTGGGAGCATGCACCCCACCCAGGATGGGAAGGACAGGCAGAGAAAAAAGGCCTACGTTGTTCCTTTAGCAAAGTTTCAGGTGACACTGATGAGGAGCCAGACAGTTACAGTCTGAGAGCTTGGTGAGGAGTCATTCCTCAGCTATGACTCATGGGTGATTTTGCTGCTTCCAGGGCTTCAGGGGGTTTTACATCAGGCCCATTTGCCTGACCTAAGCAAGGCCAGAGCTTTGATACCTGCGTGTACTAGGGAGACTCTTCCTCAACTTGAACCTGGATCCTGCCATTTCTGGGGTACAGACATAACTGGGTGTACCAGAGGAAGGGGTGGGATGCAATGAGGGAGAATGAGCCAGCAATTTGACCCTGGGACAGCCTTAAAGAGAATCAGAAGTTGTAAGGATAACTTGGTCCTCATCTGGACTCATATTGAGATTAGAAGAGTATTAAAAAAAAAAAAAAGGGCCTCCTCGGTGGTGCAGCGGTTGAGCGGCCACCGGAGGAGGGTCCCGCATGGCGCGCAGACCTCTCCTGCCGCCTGCTGCTCCCCTCGGCAGTGTACTTCGGTTCTTCTGCCTGCTCTGCTCCCCGCTCTGGCTCTGGTGAATTCTCTCACCCTCCCGTGCTTCTGACTGTACCCAGTGCTTGTATAAATAAATAAATAAATCTTAAAAAAAAGAGTATATAAAAATGGAAGAACTGGTTTTACTAACTCTTCTGCAAGATGTTGGGGCCTAAGCAACACTGCTTTGGGACCCCCCAACCCTATAAAATACAGAGTTCTCTTCCACTCTGCCAGAGACACAGCTCTTGTGCTGCAAGGTTCCAGGTGCCCACCAGCATGGAGCTTGCTTGTCAGGAAGCTGAGAATAGTGGCAGATGCAGAGGGTGAAACACACTAAAAATCCCGGGGGGACTCAGAAGGTAGAGGGGGGCCTTTGACAGGGGACAGAGAACTGAGATTGGCAGACGGGGGCTAATGGGAACCTTGGGAAAATTCGTATTTTTTTCATTTGAACAAATCATAATTCATTTTTTTTCTATTTTTATGGAATATAATGCCTTTGACTAAAAACAAATCCAAACAAATTTCATTCAGAGGGACACTTACAAGGGTACACAGAGAAAATAAGGGATGGTGAACATTTGCAGTAACAAATGTAATATCAAAGGACATTGCACTCCTGTTTTTGATATCATTTCACCATATATTGACTCACACCTGAATTGGTATGTGAGTTCAATGGCAGACACTGTGAGTAAAGTACTCTGTAAAAGTATGTTCCCTGTGGGCCTCCCTGGTGGTGCAAGGGGGTAAGACGCAACCTATGAAGCTGGCCGCAGCCTCTGCATCACGAGTTCAATCCCTGGCCAGGGAGATACTCACATGGCGCAGCAGACCTCTCCTGTCTCAACTGCTGCTCCCCTCAGCAGTGTATTTCAGCCAGTCTGCCTGTTCTGTTCCCCACTCTGTCTCTGGTGAATTCTCTCATTACCACCCCCCACCTCTGGCCTGTACCCTAGCTCTTGTATGCATAAATAAATAAATCTTAAAAAAAAAGTATGTTCTCCTATGAAGCTGGACTTAGGGGAAGACCTACTCATTCAAATTCTATGACATTCTCTGTGCAAGCTTTTCAAAGGCAGACCCTGTGCTTATTTTTCTCTGTACTCATCATAGAGCCTTGAACAAGGAGGATAATTCCTAACTGTGAACTGTGAAGACAGAGGACAGTATTAACTAGCCTTAAAGTAGCGCTCGTGCTGCAGAGGGAGAAGGACTAAGAAGAGCTGCAGGATTTGGGAATAGGCGGAAAAAACACAGGAAAAGGAAGTAACTAAATGCATGTGGAATACGATCAGAAGGCAAGCATAGACATGAGCTTTGAAAAAAAAGAGAAAATGCTTTTTCCTCAAAGATAGGAAAGACGAGGGTGGGAGAATCTCCAACTGAGCAGACCTGCCTTACTATTTTAATTGTCAAACTTTAAAAGTTTTTTCCCCTGAAAAATTTCCTTGCAGTCCAATCTTTAAAATATAGAAGGGGATTAAAAGTTTCCAAGATTAACTCTGGAAATACAACTTTATTTATTTATTTATTTTTAAAGATTTATTTATTTATACAAGCACTGGGTACAGTCAGAAGCGTGGGAGGGTGAGAGAATTCACCAGAGCCAGAGCGGGGAGCAGAGCAGGCAGAAGGACCGAAGTACACTGCTGAGGGGAGCAGCGGGCGGCAGGAGAGGTCTGCGCGGCATGTGGGACCCTCCTCTGGTGGCCGGGGAGCAGCCGGGGATCAAACCCGGGCTGCAGAAGCTGCGGGCAGCTTCGCAACCCAGCGCTCAACCGCTGCGCCACCGGGAGGCCCTGGAAATACAACTTTAAAGCCATTAGTACATGTCCATCCATTTCACTGACTGTAAGATTTATTTATTTATTTATTTATGGATACAAGAGCTGGGGTACAGGCCAGGGGTGCGGGGGTGAGAGGATTCACCAGAGACAGAGTGGGGAACAGAACAGGTGGACTGACTGAAATACACTGCTGAGAGGAGCAGTGGGCAAGACAGGAGAGGTCAGCTGTGCCATGTGGGTAACTCCTTGGCCAGCTGGGGATTGAACTCATGCTGCAGTGGTTGCAGACAGCTTCACAGTGCTGTGCTTAAACCTTTGTGCCACCAGGGAGGCCCTGACTGCAGGATTTAATTTGAGTTGAACCCAGTATAAAAGGAGGTGAAGAGTAAAGAAATAAAATCAAGAATTAGTGGCTCTGTCACTAAGACTTTCAGAGAAATTATTCATACCCCAGCTACTTCCAAGGTGGAGTTTGGATGACTTCTCATAAAAAAGCATAGATACAGAGAAAAAGCACAACACATGC